GTTCCAGTGTGTTCCCTGTCTCTGAGTCATTGCAGGAAAACTCGTGTTATTGTTGGAGCTCTTTAAGAATTAGGTTTTCTCTTCCTTATTAGGAATGAAGACATCTTCACTGATGAGCTTCATGACCTATCACCACTGACATCATCTAATTATGCAAATGTTATCACCATGAAGCTGAGGGTGGTGGATGCTAGTTCCACCTCAGGTGGGCATGGTTCGCCTGGACAGGTCTCAGTGTTTATTTCCCAGGTCATGAGGGTTTCCTACTTTGCCTCACATTAGCACTACACTAGAATGTACTTCTGTTGGCCCTAAACACATAACCAGGCAGAAGTTATATGTAAAATACAACAATAACTTTATTCAAATATTTCCTGTCATTTCTGAGCCTCATATTCCCTTCTTCTGAGCATGCAAAAAAAAAAAAAAAGTTTAAATTGGTGGTGGAAGGCGCACACCCAGGAAGTGCAGACAGACGGACTGGGCCCGCAGGTCCTGGTCAGGAAGCGGGTTCTAGGAGAAGGCTCCAGTGTTGCTTCTCCACTGGGCAGGGCTGTGGAGTGGGGTGGCCACAAGCTGACTCTACGCAGTCTCCACACCCCTGGGGCTCAATATGCAAGCTCCTTGTTAGACTAGCAGTTTCACTGCCTTCTGATCCCTGGGGTGCAAATCCTTGAAGACCAAGGAACCAGAAGGGAGGCTTTCCGGCTGGCTTGTCCCCTGGCCCCAGAAGCCAGGTGCAGATCATCCAGTTCTCTCCACTGTTTCTCCTCCCTCCATCATGGTGCCTTGCAAGTGAGACCCGTGGCAGTTTTCTAGTAAACCCCAAATATATACCTACCAAGAAAGAAAATGTAGCTCTTTTATATCTTGTAGACTGAGAGTCCCGAACAAGCACATACAGAGGCAGGGGTTCATGATGGCCATGTAGCTCAGGGGTTGGCAAATGGCCACATAGCAGTCAAGACCATCACTGCAAGGAGAAAATTTTCTAAGACAGTAAAAACCAAGACAAAACAGATCTGGGAGATGYATTGTGTGTAAGTGATGGTCTTATTCTGTGCTTGGATGTCTACCAGCAACTTTGGAATCATGCTTGTGCTTAAGCAGATGTCATTAAATGAGAGGTTGGAGAGGAAGAAGTACATGAGGTGCAGAGGTGGGAGTCAGAACTGATGGCCAGGATGATGAGCAGGTTCCCCAGGATGGTGACCAGGTACATGGACAGGAACAGGCTGAAGAGGAGGGGCTGCAGTGCTGGGTCCTCTGTCAGGCCCAGGAGAAGGAATTCTGAAACAGCTGTTTGGTTTGTGGGTTCCATGTTGTAGATGAATCTTATGAAATTGATGGGATGAAAGGTAAAAATTAATGGACCAGCAGGTGCAGCTTCACCTAGGAACAGATTAGAATCACCTGGTAGACTCCTCCATCTTTAGATTTCAAGCCTCCAGAAGTATGAGTATAGACATTTCTATTAAGACACCCAGTCCAAGGTAATTGGTTATGATGCTCCTACCAACTAATATGCTCACCACCATCCCTGCTCAACACGCACAAGAACACCAACACATTTCAGAATATTTTTTAGGTCATTGCATTGAAGAAGCAGCAGATTTCTGCTGTGTAGGAAAAGTGGCGTCTCCTTGAGGAGAGTATGAGGCATTCCCCCAAGGGGTCTGAGAGTGAAGGGCTGTCTGCTAGCAGCACTCAGCTGCTGTGCTGATAAGCCCATCTCTCCTGGCAGGAGATCCAGGTGGCTCATCACATGCCTGTCTTGTTGGTTTCCCATGTGCATTGCCTATTTCTCCTCTCATGGAAGAATCAGGACCTCGTGGATGAGGGCACTGGGTAGATGGGGTTGTTGATCTGAGTGAGTCTGCAGAAGTGAGGCTCCCTGGGACTGTGCAGAAGGGCAGTCACAGCACCATATGATACCTCAGGCCATCTTCAATGCTGGTGAACAGAGAGGCCAGAATCAGCAGGACTCAGAGAGGCAGGGGTTCATAGTAACCGAATACCCAAGGGGTGACTGACAGCCATGTAGTCATCACAGGACATGACTTCAAGGAAACTTTTCTAAGGCAGTGAAAATGAAGACAGACCATGACTGGAAGAGACATCATGCTTAAGTGATGCTCAGGTCCTGTGCTCGGATGTTCCCAGCCTCTCTGGCATTACGCTTGTGTTTAAACAGGTGTCAGTTAAGATGAAGCACAGCTGGGTATGAGGAGGGCAAGTCTTTTACATGAATTGTTAAAATAATTTTCACTTCATTCCGTGAGTAACTATCATGAACCATCCAGGGGCTGTGTGTGGACCACCGCACATGGAGCCTAGTGGATAGGATCATCTGGTGTCTGGGAATGACCAGTGGACATTTCCTCTGGTTAACTGCCCTAACACATTGTGAATTCCTATCCCACTCTGCCATGTCCCACACAGCACCTGAGATGGGTGTAACCTGCCAAGATGTCGATCAACTGCTGACAGCAAAATATCAGGAAGCAAGACTCTGCCCTTGGAACTTTATCCCTGCCTGTGATGCACCCCCTTAAATAAACCACTAGAGCCATCTTCTTTTGTCTAGCTCTAACTCTTGTGTGGACTGGATCTATCAGGGGCTCCACTTTTGAAAATATATTTCTGACTCTTTGTCTTTTGTTCTTCACTAATTATTTTAGACTTTAAGTTCTCAGGTGGCTTCCACCCTCCTCAGCAGGAAGAACTCCCCAAGAAGATGCTGAACATTGCTCCCTATAAGTGACCATTTAACAATTTTCATAATTATCTTTCATTAAAGTCTGATGTAACATGAAACCATCTCAAATATGTTACAAAAAGGAAACATATTTATTCTTGTTTTACTTTCTTTTGGACCCCTAATTCAGGCTTCCTGGAATTTACACAAAATTTGCTTATGTATAAAAGTTCCTGTGTCCATGTGAATTGAGCAAAGCACTGTCTATTATTAGTTAAAAAATAATTTCTTCCTGGGGCATTGTCAAAGTCTTTGTTTTGTAAGTTTTATTTTAAAGGACACAATTGTACATCTTTACAGGTGCAGTCTGATAATTTATTACATGTGTACATTGTATAATGATCAAATCATTCATGGGGAAATCTAAAACATTGATCTCATAGAAATAGAGAGAATAGTACTTGCCAGACTCTGGGGATGGCAGGGAGGAGGGAAAGGTGAGGAAGTGTCAGTCAACAGGTGCAAGGTTTCAGGTGGAGAGGAGGAACAGGTTCTGGTGTCCTATTGCAGTATGGTGACTGTGATCAATAATATTACATGCTATATTTCATAGTAGGGTCTTTGAAAGCAAAGAACATGTATTACCATATTTATAACTGTGTTTAAATTCATCTCACAGCTTTTCATTTTCACAGATCAAAATAAAAGTTCAGTCACTATACATCATGTGCATTGAATTTGAAAATGCAGCATAATTTAAATGTGTTAAGAATATTTTTAAAAAATATCCTCCATGTAAACTTTTCAGATTGCATTTGTCTATGGGTAACTTCAGAGAAACCACAGATAAAGAGCTCTGGACTACTGTGCTTTTATCATATATGAAATGGCAGACATGATAATTCACTTGATGACTATAATAATCATTTCACATTGCATACTTTAAATATATACAACAAAAGTAAGTGAAAGGGCTACTCACATACTTAAGAGATAATTACATTGTGAAATCATCATGTGTCTTGCAAATATGTACAGCATTGAAAATGAACTCTTGACACACCATAATGTAAGTAAATCTCCAATACATCAGGATGAGTAATAGAAGGCACAGTACATAAGATATAATTCAATTTTTGGTACTAAGAGGATTGAACTCAGGGTGTGCTCTTCCACTGAGCTACACCCCTGGCCATTTTTTTTTAAATTTTAAGACAGGGTCTCATCAAGTGGCCCAGGCTGACCTAGAACATTTGCAATGCTTCTGCCTCAGCCTCCTGAGTTGTAGTCATTACAGACTGTGTACCACTGTGCCTGGCAGAATTAAACTTGTAACAAGCTAAAATGCAGGTAAAATTGTGAATCATATCATAGGTCAAACACATGAAATGCTGCAATACACAGCAGCTAATACACAATTGAATTTTAAGAGTGGACAGACACTCAGGGAGAGGTATCATGTCAGAATATGGCACCTGCAAGCAGTCCAGACATCCAGTGGCCATGCGGGGAGCCAGCAGGCGGATGAAACTGGCTCACACAGAGATAGAGGGACTCCAGGGTGCTGGGCATGGAGATCCATAATTAACTCTAATTTATTCAAGATGATTATCTTGTTTGATCAAAGTTGAGTGGCATTTTTTTTCTTATTTGAGAGAGCCATCCTCCTGGATAGAATTCTAATTTTTTATAGTGACCTCGAATCTGTGAGTAGACAACTCAGCCCAATTTCCTGGATGAGAAGCTGAGTGCAGTATGTATTCTTGGTGCTGTGCAGGCAGAATACTTATCAGCCTCTGAGCTGTGGCCTCAGAGAGGGTTGACAGGCAGCAATGCACAGCTGCTCTGTTCTGTGGACAACTCAACAGAATTCTGTCTGGATAATCAGTCTTCAGAGCCCCAGTGAGAAAGATCAAAATGTAATTGGGCTATTAAACTGGTAATAATGTCAGGAAGCCACAGACATAGAGCTCTACATGGGCTGAGATGAAATCTAGTCCTTCAGTAACACCAAGATCTTTCCTTCACTCCTCCCTTGGACCTGCTCTCTCAAACCTTCACCTGAGAAATATCCCCCAATCACTACAGGAAGAATCCTTTGCTTATGTTCTGCTACTGAGAAAGAGGATCAGTGGATCAAGGTCACAAAGATCACAGGTGTTTTCAAGAAAAGACAAAGTCAGTTTTCAGATCGAAGATGAAATATCCACAGCATAAGGGAGTTTAATTATGGTAGCATAAGGATGTGATGTTGGAAGAACTCTCCATTAGTCTTACCCAGTATTCTTTCATTTGACTCCTTCTACWGTCTCAAGAAAGGAGATGTTCCAATGAGYTTCCTCAAGGCCTCCTTCATGTCTCTGTTCCTCAGGCTGTAGATAAAGGGGTTCAGCATCTGAGGGACCACAGTGTACATCAGTGAAGCTACTGCACTCTTTCTGGTTGAATCTGTCACTGCAGAGCTAATGTAGACCCCAAAAGCTGTCCCATAGAACAAGGAGACAACAGACAGGTGAGACCCACAGGTGGAAAAGGCTTTATGCTTTCCCCCAGATGATGGCATCCTCAGAATAGAGGAGACTATTTTGATGTAAGAGTAAATAATCCCAAGGAGAGGAACACCACCTAAMACGCTAGTCACTACATATACCAGRATGTTATTGATGAGGGTGTCAGAACAGGCCAGCTTGATGACCTGATCAAGTTCACAGAAGAAGTGGGGGATCTCCAGGTCTGTGCAGAAGGACAGTCGCAGCACCATCAGACTGTGCAGGAGGCCATCTGCCATGCTGATGGTCAAGGACAAGAGAATCAGCAGGACACACAGGCGGGGGTTCATGATGACTGTGTATCTGAGTGGATGGCAGATGGCCACGTAACGATCATAAGCCATTGCTGCAAGGAGAAAGTTTTCCATTCCAGCAAAGATCAGGACAAAGCAGACCTGGATGAGGCAGCCTGCGTAACTGATGGTCTTGCTCTGTCTCTGGATGTTCACCAGCATCCTAGGGACTGTGCTGGTGCTGAAACYGATGTCAGTGAGGGACAGGTTGGAGAGGAAGAAGTACATGGGGGTGTGGAGGTGGGAGTCAGAGMWGATGGCCAGGATGATGAGCAGGTTCCCAAGCACTGTGACCAGGTACACGGACAGGAACAGTCCAAAGAGAARGGGCTGCAGKTCTKGGTCCTCTGAGAGTCCCAGGAGGAGGAATYCTGAGACACCTGATTGRTTTTCTGGTTTCATGTTCTGAGGAGGAGGATGGGGAAAGTAAAGGTCATGAAACCAAATGGGTGTGCAAGGATCCCTTATTTTGAAAGGCTTTCACATATACTTTGTGAAGGGAGTATTACCCCCCTCCCTCCTTCTCTCCCTCCCTCCCCCTCTATTTTTCTGACCTACTCTCTACCACACTAGTTGATTGTTCAAAAATTTTAATTGCCCATTCTTTTCCACATTGTAGCAATGACTAGAAACAAAACAGACAGTCATTATTGGCCTTAAACCCTGAAAATATCCCAAGCCTCAAACCAGCAGGAAAATCAATAACAAACTCTAGGTAACCCAAACCATGTCTGTCATGATTTCACACACCTGAGTTAGATTCTGGTTTTAGTGCTGGGTTCACAACCAACAATAAGTTTTCCACTGTGTGATTATACAGGTCCTCATCTGTATAATGGGAGCCATGATGAAGCTTGGTGGGAATATTGTGAGGATGTGCACTGAGGAAAGCTTCAGGGACAGGGCTGGACATGAGACCCTCTTGATCTTGGTATTGTTACTTGCTTCTGCTGTGGACATGACCAGACTGCCGGCACCAGTCATAGTAGATGAGAAGTGATGGTTGGGACAAATGTATAAGGTGACAGGATGATATATACAGAGAGAGATATATAGATATAGATATAAAATATATTTTATAAAAAATCAAAAAGTTATTATCATTGCTATTTTTTAACTTACTTGAATTTTGTTATGGTACATGTGTCTTTTAGGAAAATTTTCTCTCTTATTCAYTTTCTATTTGTGTTGCTATATCCAGGTTTGTTTATTTTTTATCTAGACTTATTGTTATATATACATGAGATATGAGATATAATCATTAAATATCATTCGTGTTCATTGAGTGGTTTGCTTTTCCTGCTTGTGCATATGTGTGAGATTCTCAGRGGGAGATTTCATAAACTCACTCTTCCCAGAAATTTGCAATTATCAACTAAAGATGTGGAATTAATTGTGGTATTTTCATACATGGACATAGCGTAATTTGGCACATTTCATTCCCCAGTACTTTCCATTCTCCTTTCCTTCACCCTGTCTCTACATACCTTTTCTCTACTCCACTGGTCTTTATATTTTTTTGAGTTTCCTTGTTTTATTCCTTTTTATTCTCTCTAGCTTTRATGTATTAGAGAAAACATTCCRTCCTTGATCTTCTGAGCCTGGCTTATTTGACTTATCATAAAGTTCTCCAGTTTCACCCATTTTCTAGCCAATGCCATAAATTCATTCTTCTCTGTGGCTGTATATTAGAGTATCATCAAACAGAAAGTAGTGTCAGCCAGGTATTTGCTCTACAACAGGGGTATTACGATCCAGGAAGGAAAAAGTAAAAAGAAACTGGCCATGTACTTTTGACACTTGTCAGATAACTTAAAAGAAAGATTGGGAAATTCTAAAACATCCTTCAAAACTGAGCAAGAGTGGCTGGACTTTAAGGTCAGAGGAGGGCATTAGTAGAATGAAACTTACTCAGATAAAGGTGCATGAGTAGAAGGAAACATGGAGATGACAGAGAACCAGGAAGACACCCCACAAATGACCCAGTTCTGATATTAGTTGACAGTCAAAAACCTGCCATTATGGGGAAGCACAAGCCAGTAGACTTCTTATTACCTGGGTGACAACACTAAGGAATGACATTCTGTTCCTCCTGGGATATGAAGGAGAAAGATGAGCACTCCGTTCTCAGGGAACACAGAGAGATAGTGCAGTACCTGCCTCCTGTGCAGATATGATGGTCCTGAGACCAGAGCCAGGTGAGCTGTTTCTCCCCTGGGCAAAGTGTTGAGTGGGTGGTCATGGGCAAAATGTTTGCCATTTCTGTGACACTTGGGGCTTCAATATCCAAAGCTCCTAATTAGTCAAACTCTGTTTAGTCTTATGCAATCATAGGGCAGCAGAAATCTTTAATGAGCAAACCTGAGTGATGGAGAGCTTTGCTTTGGCTGATTCTCCCACATGGAGAGGCCAACCAGATGCCTTCTTCCCTCTATCTGTTCAGGCTCACCTCCACTTCAAGAACCTTGCACCACTCAACACACCTCCCTTCTTTTGTTGTATTCTATTCTTCTTATTTTTGTATATTCAAGGAAACACTGACCTAATAACAATACTAGAAAAATGCAACATTCAAGTTGGTAAATATAGCTCATTTACATGGGTAGACATATACATTACTTCTATAAATTTATGTGATAAAATAATGAATGTATGATAAAAATTCAAACTCTGAGAAGCAATACTATGGCCCATGGAACATTGATTATGCTTATTATTTTGCATTTTACATCAAACAGTTACTAATATATTRCATGCAATCAAATGCAAAAAGGCATTTTTGTTCTTATTCACAACTTTATTGAAGTGTGAYTGATATATAATAAGGTACATATATTTAAAGTATGTACTTTTATTTATATGCATGTAAACAGAATTTAGTATATATAGATATAGACATGTAGATACATGTCTCTATATATATGCATAGATAGATAGATAGATAGATAGATAAAAATAGATTTGATGGATCACCAAAATCAACAATGATGCATCCATCTACAGCAAAAATTTCCTTCTGTCTCTTTGTCCATTTTTTCCATGCTAAAAATTGATCCCATGGCTTTCACATCCTAGATAAGTATTGTATCACTGAGTTACATCTCCAGTTCTCATATTCCTTTGTAAAACTCATTTCTGTTTTTTGTACATCATACTTGTTTTTGGACACAACACCTTTCTTATGTCTCTAGTTTGTTACTTATTTTCCTGAGCAGTATTCCATTGTTTGGATGTTGCATGCTTTGCTTATTCATTCACCTGCTGTTCATAAATGATTGGGATGATTACAAACAGCACTGCTATGAACATTCGTGTACAGATCTTTTTGAAGACATGTGTTTTCATTTCTCCTAGRTAAATACTGAGGAGTGAAATGAATGAGTCATGAGATAGAGATATGTTTAACTGATTTGGAAGGAGCTAAATATTTATCACTAACTATTCTTTCCTGTTCTTATACTATTTGTTCTTTAAATATTAATTAACATCTATCTCTTCAGATTTGAGAAGTACTTCTTTATAAAGGACATACTTAAGAAGTCTCAGCAAAGATCCAAATTCAATAGTTTTGGGGTGAGATCAAGKAATCTGAATGTAGTCCTCAGATGATCCACCTGCGCAGGAGCTCTGGGGACACCAGTGAAGAAGTTCTGTAAGACAGAATGAGAGCTAAGCATGGAGCTGTCCACCAATTGTGGTGCTGAACACTTTTCCCTTTGCTCTCCCTGCACCTGCTCCAATGATGGTCTATCTGGGTACTCTCCTGATTCTCCTGTGARACGTCACAATTCCATTATTTTCATTTCCACACCTACAGAGATGTGTTCGACTTATTGATGGTATTCTTTTGCTTGTAAAAAACTCATGATCCTTAATCCTTCCAGCTTTCATTTTCTTCCATGTTTTTCCATACTGAACACTTACTCCAAAAAGTAAAGTTTTTCTTTACAGAAATTGGTCTTCCTCAAAAAGACAAATTAAAAAGGTTTACATGAAAGCTCCAGTGATCACTAAGATACATTCTWGAAATCTAATACCTAAAAATGTTACTCTACTAAATATTCTCCTTCAGGCTTCATTTGTGTCTCTGTTTCTCAGGCTGTAGATAATGAGATGAGGGACCATAGAATACAGCACTGAAGCCACTGCAGCTCTCCTGGCTGAATAAGTATGTAAAAAGCAAAAGTAAATCCCAAAAGTTTTCCATGGAGTAAGAAAAACAAAACAAAACTAAGAGAGGAGACATGTAGGTGGAAAAAATATTTGTATGTTTTKCAAGATGATGACATTGTTAAAAGAGAACAGACACTTTGAGTACATAAGAAAATGATCCYGGAACTACCAATTGATATGAAAGGCAAAAATAAATAAATAATAAATAATTAAAAATAAAAAATTTTAAAAAACAGAACAAAATGTTACTGATGAGGGTATCAGAACATTCAGGCYTAAGAAGAAGTGGGGGATATCCATATCTGTACAGAAGGACAGCCACAACATCATCAGACTGAGCAGCATGGAATCCGAGGAACTAGTAGTCAGAGAGACTAGGCATTTGTATACAGAGTGAGAAGCTCATAATGAACATGCACATTAGTGAGCAATAGAAGGCCCCTATAGTAGTCATGGGCCATTGCTATGAGGAGACAATTTACCAAGACACGAAACCCAAACAAGGAAGATCTGATTGAGAMACCCTGGGTAGGTAATTGTCTGAGTCTGCTTGCTTGTTCACCAGCATCTTTGAGATGATGCATGTGCTTAAGCAGATGCCAGTAAAGAAGAGGTAGTATGGGGGGGGGTTGCAGATGAGAGTCAGAACTTAGAACCAGGATGATGATCAGGCTTCCCAGGGCAGGAAGGTCCATGAACAGGAATGAATGAAGAAGAGCAGCTACATTTCTGGATATTCTTTCAGTTCCATGAGAAGGAATTCTGAAACAGCTTTTTGGTATCTGGGTTCTATGCTACTGATGAATCAAAAGCATAGGTGGGCAAAATGACAATATACTCAGTGATACCTAACACTAGCAGCATCACCTGGGGACTTGTAATGGGTGCTGATCATTGTAACCCACTCAATCTACTGATGGTAATTTCCAGAGATGAGATCAACAATCGGTGACTTTACCTCTCTCCCACATGCTAAAGTTGGAGAATTGCTGGTTTACAAACACTATCTCATCTCTATTGTGAATTCAAGTGAACCTTTAAATCCTTCCCTCTGCTTCTCTCTTTTCATCCTTTTTCTCCCTCACTTCTTTCTCAGTACAAACCTATTCAGCTCAGTATTTTTTTGTTCAATATTAACACCCTTATATGTTGTACCAAATTTTGAGAAGTTAATTAAAAGGCATGTCTTTATTTTTTCATAATTATTTTACACTTTCAAGCAAGCAGGA